CTTTATATGTGAGAAGGAGGATTTTAAATTCTATTCTGGATTTAACAGGAAGCCAATGAATAGACAACTAATTACAGTTTGTGGACTTCTGTTTTGTCTGCAGAAAGTTAAGAGTCATCCAGGTTTTTATGTCTTCAGACATGCCTGTAATCTATGTAATGGGTTAGATTCATCTGGATTATAGTCAGATATAGCTGGGTATCATCAGCATCATTCTACAAATTGGGAGCATATTTAACGTAAAGAGAATTAGTCCTAGCACTGATTTTAGTGATCAGTCCTAGGGCTAGTCGGCATAACCAGGTGTCATTACCACCAGCGTGAATAAGAATCTTACTGTATTAAACCTTATTCTTAGCCGGCAGTATCAGGTAGGAATTGTACTTTAGAGATGCTAGTTTAGCTAACTGTTATAGTTTTGAATGTGGTAAACCAGAGTAACCAACAATTTCAATTGAGTTTATTTCTATAGCGCAGATTCAAATTCGGTCACTGCTTTAACTCAGGCAACCACTGAGACTTTTAACTCCTGAATATATAAACATGAAAATAAAGCAATTTTTTTTGTGGTTTTTACCTCTCAGTTGTTGCACAATCAAGATGTGTACTTTTACTGCAAACATAACATTTAAAAATGTGGGTGTATTACAAGTTTGTTATAATTATTACAGTCAACATTTACAGACACGGTCAGGGAGCAGTTGAACAGAAACAGATGCTTCCCAAAGGTTTCCAGGTCTGAACTTGTTACTTCAAGGCTGGACTATTGTAATTCTTTACTATCAGGAAGTCCACAAACTGTAGTTAAAAGCCTTCAGCTGATCCAAAATGCTGCAGCCAGAGTTCTGATGGAAATTAAAAAGAGAGATCATATCTCTCCTATTTTCCCCTTAAAAACTATAACTGTTAGCTAAACTAGCATCTCCTAAGTACAAATCCTACCTGAAACTGCCGGCTAAGAATAAGGTTTAATGCAGAAAGATTGTTATTCACGCTGGTGGTAATGACACCTGGTTATGCCGACTAGTACTAGTCCTAGCACTGATCACTAAAATCAGTGCTAGGACTAATTCTCTTTACGTTAAATATGCTCCCAATTTGTAGAATGATGCTGTTGATACCCAGCTATATCTGTCTATAAATCCAGAATTTAAAATCCTCCTTCTCACATATAATGCCTTAAATGGC